GCACCCCACCTCCGAAGTGGCCCGAGCGAGCCCCAGGCTCCAGGCCCCGATAAGCGGCCGCCAAGGAGTGAGCCGGTGTGTACCTGGACGCCCATCCCCGGACACAAAGAACCACCAACGCACCGATGTCTGAGGGGGTCCGCCACTGGCAGGGGAAGTGGTGGTAGGGGGAGATAGGCCTCCAAACCTTGGAGGGCCTGAGATGTCCCCAGAGAGGTGGCGCCTGACACCCAACCTGACATATAGACACAGACATACAGGCACACACAGATACAAACATCCATTCCCACCCTCATGCTCTCATATGCACTTACTCCACACTCAACCAACGTGGAGACAGACATAAAGAGACGCTGTACACACGATCACACTCCCCAAGCGTACTCTACGAACCGGGTCTAGGTACCCTTGCCCCTGGAGGGGGGAACTGCACCCAGACCCAGGTGGTGTTACCCTTTTCCCTGCGGTGGGGGGAGGCAGACCGCCCCGACTCCGCAGCAGCAGGAAGGCTCCACACTCCAGACCGCAGTCGGACGGCCAACTCCTCCTCCTAGCCCCCCCGCTCCAGCAGGTCGCAGAGAATGGGGGTGAGAGAAGACTCCAAACCTCCCTCCACCCGCTCATTGTAGTGTTGATGCATGTGTGTTCTAAGGTGCATTTAAAACCCAGGAGGGCATGGAGCTACCTGCCAGAGAGCAGCAGGTAAGCGCATGGTCCCTCCTGCTAGCCCTCAATGTCTACGTGTATTTAAAATTGAGAGGTGGGCAACGATGCCAGGGGTGGGGTGTACACCCTGATGGTACTTTGGACTCCGTGTATCGTGCCCACCCCCAAGATCCTATATGTATGTGTAATGAGAGTGTGAGTAATGTGAATGTCTAAGTTGTGGGATAAAATTGAGGCAGAGGCAGCCAGAAGGGGACAGAGGGGGGGGTAGCCTCCTCTGCACCCTGGTGACATACCCCTACTCCAAGGTCCTGCATGTGTGGGTGGTTGTGGTGGAGCGGGAAGAGGGAGGCAGCTGGAGATGGGGAGGGAAGGAAGGGAGGGGCAAGTGACCCCTCCCTGGGGCCAGCTCCCCCGCTGACCCCAGTAGGCACCCCATACTCCGCGACGCCAGGGCCAAGCGGGCCCAGTGCAGCAGCGCCCCCGGCCCCACAGAGCCCGGGACAGTCCACCCAACCCCACCACAGAGAAAACTGCACCCACCCCACCATCCACTCATCTTCCAGACTACATAAGACAATAAACACCCAGGCTGAGATCTTCCTCCACCTCTCCTGTATCTCCCCCTCCTGCAGAGGGAGCTCCTGAGAGAGGAAAGCTCCTGCCAGATGTGACAATCTCCCCCACCAGTTGAAGAGCCCCCCAGGTGGCTCGACGCACCGGCGGCACCCTGCTCCAGGGCTGGGCCCCCATGCACCCACCCGCCCACAACCCCGGCAACACACCAACCAGGACCCAAGCCCCCGAGGCCCGGTCCGGGTCCAGCCCAGAGACGGAGCGCCCCCAGAACCTCACGCCCATCCCGGACCCACCCAGGGGCAGCCAGGCTACCAGGTCAGTAACCCACGTCCGTCAGCACAGACCCTCCCCTAGCCCCGCTGCACGCAGCCGCGAGGAAACAGTCACCGGAGAGCCAACAGAGCCCCTAACCGGACTCTTTTTCAGCTTTTAAGTAAATGCTTGAGTTTAGCCCAGCTTTCAGTGCTGTTAAATAAATGATGATATTTGTACCACATGATGAGCTTTAATAGTTCTTTAAATTTAGCACAGGTCAGAGAATCATATAGGCTGGGCAATACTGGTCTTTTTGGAATTATGACAATGTGTCAGGAGTGCACGAAAAGACGATTTGGTTATTTTAACATCACATAATGTGTCCAGTACAGCAGCATCAGTGCAACTGTCAGCAAATCAATTCAGTTTTATTTATGTCTTACAAAATAACGACGCCTCAAGGCGCTTTATATTGCAAAGTAAAAAACCTATGATAATAGCACTTAGCAACAGTAGGAAAGAAAAACTCCCTTTTAACAGGAAGAAACCTCTGGCATAACTAGGATCAGGGATGGGCAGCCATCTGCTGTTACCGGTTGAGCATGAGGGGAGGAAGACAGAGATGAGGACTGATTATTCAAGACCTCGTTTGTGACAAGAAGAATTTTAAAGTGAATTCTGGATTTAACAGGAAGCCAGTGAAAAGAAGCCGGTATGGGAGAATCATGCCGTCGCATTCTAGTACCTGTCAGTACTCGCTGCAGCATTTTGGATCAGCTGAAAGCTTTTCAGGGAGCTTTAAGGACATCCTGATAATAAAGAAATTACAGTATTCCAGCCAAGAAGTAATACATGCACAAACTAGTTTTCTAGTTTCTGTGAGACAGGATGTTTCTAATTTTAGATATATTGTGAAAATGTAATTATAGGCAATTATCGGCAATCACAGGGAGTAGAAAAGATGGATATAGCCACTGTGACAGCATCCACTGCTTAGTGGTTTTCAACAGTGCTATCGTGGTATTTTGTAACTGGACTTTACAGGAGAACAGCAGCCACCGCATTCTCATGTGACTGGCATGTTGTTGGCCAATGAGAACCCTACTTTCTGAATAAATAATTACTGCTCTTTTGTTCCTTCTAATATAGCTCTAAATGTGTATATATACACCATACAGAATAATAGCCAGTGTATAAATATTGGCAAACTGGGATTTTCCCCAAAGCTTCAGTGTCAGTCAGGCTCCAACAGAGGGTGCAGTGAGTGTCTGAATACAAACAGGAGAATCCCAGAGCTGAAGCTGTTCTATGAGTCAAACCAACACCCAGTTGATCTTTCAGACACCCCAGACATTTTTTTTGTCTTATTATCAACAAAATGAACTGTCATGTTCAAAAGTGATACATAAATGGGAAATAATGAGTCATGTTCCATGTTGTACAAGTACATAGTGAAAGGGGCTGTAGATGGACACACTAATGTAGCAGATAGACAGAGTACGTTGCATATACAACCAAAAAAATACATTTACTAAAGAAGATGCAGCCTGAATGCTGATAGCTAAATGGTTTGAGTTCATTTTTGTAATTGCTGAATCCTTGTTGAAAAGCTTGTTGAATGAGGTGAAATACACTGAATCATTCACCTGAAAGCCAAAGTGCAGAACTGTTGAAAACTGACGTTCACCCAGAAGTTCTTTCAAATTTGGAAAGTTGCTGAACGTCTTTAAAATGTACATTAGAACAACTGACTATTGACCCAAAAAAAAGTTAGAATGAATATTGAAAGCTCATATTCTTCATAAAATTATGTATTTTAAATGTCTAAACTCAAGAATCAGAACATTTGCAGAATATGTGCTCTGTGTGTGTCTATATGTGAGTATCACAGAGTGAGTGACATACAGAGAAAGAGGGGAACTGGCACCAGTTGAAAAGGTAAAATAGTTTTTAATCTTTAACTGTTTTGTGGGTTTAATTTCATTTAATTTCATTTAATTTCTTTTATTTTTATTCACATATTACACAGACTGAACAGGCTGAAGCAGAGCAGCACCTGGCCTATTTTCAAGTATCATTAAGGTTACAGCGTGTAACATTTCACCATTACATGTCAGTAGATTGCAGATTGCAGTCTACTGAATTCACTTTTCTTGTCCCAGAAAACCTAAACTCCTCAGCAATGTCCACAATTACATTGGGATACTTAAAGAGAAGCAGCAGGAAGCACAAAGCTCCAAAATGCTCACAACTCAAGAAGTAGTGACAGACATAGTTACCTACATCCTGCAGAGTTTCTGGGAGCTTCCTCCTCGCCCCCTCTTAAACATGGCCTCCCAAAGGCTGAGCATACTCTCCATCAGTGTCACAAAGGCCACTTTGGATCGAATCTCCAAAACTTTTACAGCACTGAAAAGCCAGACCATTTTCTCCTGCTCCATCAGGGACAACGTGGTCCAGACCATCATGAGAGAAATCTGATTTAGATGTCTAAACTCAAGAATCTCAAATGACAAACCAGCATATTTACCAAATATCTGCTCTGTGTGTCTGTCTGTGAGTATTAGAGTGTAAATTACAGAGAAAGAGGGGAACTGGCATCAAATGAACAGGCAAAATAGTTTTTAATCATTAAAGATTTTGTGGGTTTTACTTTAAGAATAATTGTGTGTTAGTGTTTAGACAAAGTATATACATACAACAGCTTTCAGTTGGACTGGAGTAAATACAGAGATACTGTTGCTCTGTGGCAAAGCCCTGTTAAATCTGCCGCGATGCACCTGCTGAAAAACTGCTTCTAAAAGTCCACGTTTTGAGGGTAAAATAATGACTGTAGACCAAAAACTGTGGACAAAGCAGCTTCTTACTGAAACAGCCAATATTTCATCCCATTGACACCCATTATAAACTCTGAAACGGGTGGGGAAGGGGGGGGGCATTAAACTTAAACTGGAACTGAAGAAAAACTATAAAAGACATTGAAAAGATAAATCCAAGCTGAATAGTTCAATGTCTTGGCTTATTTTACAGTTTAAAAGGTGTCTGTAGGTCAATGTGTGTGGAAGTAGAGTTGAAAGAGGATTTGAAAAGTCTCCATATTGACATACATGATCAATTTTTGTTGAATACAAATCTTCAGAATTATAGTTCACGGGTGTAATAATAAGAATTCACCAGTAGATGGCAACGTGGCCAAGTTCAATTTTGTGCCCTATAACGTCATCTAATTATTACACAGACAGAAGAGGCCAGGTTTATATTAAGTGGAAGTTTAAAATCGCTTCACATCGCCATGTTTAGGGTTTCAAGGACTGCAGGCCATGCATATATTCTGGAGTTTTTAGCGATATGTCACTATAAAGTCAGTTTCACTGAGCTGACAGTCGACACAAGTGTGTTATTATTATTATTATTATTACTTTTATTATTGCTGGTGTGTGAGGTTGCCCCCTGCCTGGATTGGTACGGCTCTCCTGGGGGGAGGAGCTTGGTTACGTCCAGGGCAATCACACGCCAGGCGGATCCCGGCTCCTCCACACTCACACAGCGCGCTCCACCCGGGCCGGAGGAAGCGACGATGCCTCCCAGGAGGTGACCACGGCTGAATCCTTAGCCACATTTTCCCTGAACATGGAATCCAAATCTATTCATATAGAATAGATTGAGCCTTTAAAATGGGGTTTATTTCCAAGCCGGCGACGAGGTGAGGCGAAAGCGGCGGCCGCGGTGGAAGCCCAAGATAGAAAGCGCTTTATTGAGAGGAGCAGGGAGGGAGGGAGGGAGACCGCGACGCTCTCCCGTCTAAGAGGATAAAGGGAAAAGAAAAAAAAAGCGAAACTGAGCTATATTTAAGCGGGCTGTTTCGGGCCAGCCTCCCGTGCCACCATGAGCAGCAGCGGGCCGGATGAGAGCTCGGTGCGCGTCGCCCTGAGGTAAGGATGCAGACGCCTCTCCTGAGATGCTCTCGTGTTACACCTGCTTGGGACCATGCACATGTTACTCCTGCTTTTATTTTGACTGGGCTCGCCTAAAACAACAATACTCCTTTACTAAACCTGCTTTTATTTTGAAGCTGGCTGGCAGGAGCTGCTGCAGTTTTCTTGCATGGTGTGCAAAGCAAATATAGCTCTCGATTACATGAGCTGCTCTTGTTAATACCTGCATGCTTTGTACTGGATTTATGAATGAGGATGCCATATGTGTCTGAGGGATTAGGCCTTCCGCTTCTTCCCTTGAAGACTGCACCTGTAGTAAGAGTGAGCCACACGATTTCAAAGGATGCACTCACTTCTCAGAAATGCAGGTGCATTTGAGCCCCTTGCAGTCACTCATTGTGATATTTCGCCTTGCTTTTGTGCGTTACTCCGTGTGTGTGCGCGCGCATTCGCTGTATCATTCTGCTCTGACCCTTGTCCCTGAGGCCAGTCCTGTCCTGTCACTTACACAGCACACACACTGAGATAGCCGTCATCTGGTCGCAATACAACAAATCAATAAAGACACCAGTATAATGTTGGAAGCCACTTGCATGGGAATGTGTGTCTGTGTGTGTGTGTGCTTGGATTAAAAACCTGAACTGTCATGTGATCTCGTTGGAGGAGAGGACAAAAAGCTCCCGTCCCTCTCACGTTTCTCCTTGTCCCTCTCGCTCCTTGTTGTGCATTCAGACTTTGACCCAGAACTCTTGTTTACTGAGCCAGCTCAGTTTACAAGCTCTCTCTCTCTCTTCTTCATGGATAATAAATAATCTGTCTATCTGTCTGTACACCCCCACCCCACCTCACCCCCCAATCACATGCTCTGCTGCTCTCTTTAATAATAAGATTCAATTCATATTGGAACATTGCATTTGTCTGGCTTCCTGTCTTAGCTTAATGTGAACACACAAAACAGCCTGAGCCTCATACGCAGGCTGTTTGATGTGTGGCAAATAAAGATCTGCATGTTTTTGTCCTACCTGCTTTTGTATCTTGTTAGAAAGGTCAGGTGCAGTAATTATTTAAAGCGCCTTTGTTGTGTTTGTTGGTCTGTTGTCCTATTGAAGGTCAGACAAAAAGGCTTTTCATTGGTTTAGGTTTTCATCTATAAGTTTGTTCATGATTTGTTTGATTTTCTTTACTTCTTTGACATAAGTAACCTCTATTCTCACGAAGAATGCTTTGGGCACACACATTTATGTCTCTTCTTATGTATTTGGTTAGATGAATTTAGAGGCATGTTTCATTTTTCTCAGTGTAAGTACATGAATACAACTTTAGTTAAGTTCAAAACTAGACTAAATTGCACTTGGGGGAGTCTGAATTGTAAGTGTGAGAAGAGCGACAGGCTATTTTGATGAACTTATAAAAGGTCTAATGCTTAAACATGACGTTTTATGTTGGCCTAATATTTTTACTTAAACCATAAGTCTGATGACCATATGGCACAGATGTCAAACTCGAGGCCTTGAGGGCCGGAGTCCTGCACGTTTTAGGTGTGTCCTTGATCCAACACAGTTGATTTAAATGGCTAAATGACCTCCTTGACATGTCTTGAAGTTCTCCAGAAGCCTGGTAATGAACTAATCATTTGATTCAGGTGTGTTGACTTAGGGTGATAGCTAAAACCTGCAGGACACTGGCCCTCAAGGCCTGGAGTTCAATACCCCTGCCATATGGGTTATGAAAGTGGCTAACTCTTCATGAATTACAACCCAGCCCTTTATTTAGAATCAGCTCCGTGGAACATTTTAGTCTTTCAGCTTATTATTTGGATTTACTGTGTTCTTCTTGGCACTGTTGCCTTTCAGAGCAGTGGGGTAATTTTAACTAAACTGATAATAATCCAGCTACATGCTATGTGTCTAGCACCAAACAGCTAGTAAATCATGTTTACTAGCTAGCTGCTAACTTGTGTGTCCACAAACAGCCTAAAGACAAGTTGCTAGCTAGTTAATATGCTGGTAGGATTCAGCAATATTATCAGAGGACAGTTCAACAAGAGCTCTGTTCACCAATCCCACACCAAACAGCCAACCAGGAGTATTAGCAGCCAGCTAGTTAACACAGTGGAATATTAAGCAAGTGCCAGACAGGATTTTTGTGTTCACCAAAGCAGAACTGAAAGGGCAATGAATCTTGAACATACCTCCAACAAGAACACTGATATATGGCTTTAAATGGCCTTTTGTGCGCTAACATGCTAGCACAAACCGTCATTGTCGAGATTGCTATTCGGAAGCTCGTTTCCATCACTGAAAAAAGTATTTTTCTTGTTCATAAGTCAAACTTTAAAGTTTTGAGTTCCTTTTTTCAAAATTTCAGCTTACCAACTCAAACTTAGGAGAAAACTTGAAATTGAAAATAGAGTTTAAATAACTTGAAATTTTCAGTTCAGTTGAAATTTTGAGATAATAACTCAAAATTAGTCACAAACCTTTAGCTAACGACTTATTACATAGTGTAATCTTCACTTCACTGCAGTACCAACACGGGGAGACAATATATTTAAAGCTAAGGAAGACCAGGGAGACCAAGGAAGGTATAAGGTACATTCCAACATTGTTCTACGCCTGAAACGATTAAGCCAGGTGGCTAATGTATATTTACATGTAAAAGTGTTACTAATGTCTCTTTAAATGCTGTCCCACAATTATTTTTATGTTGGGTTGAAATAAAATATCTCCCTCTGCTGGTACTGCAAGTTACTGCAACGTCTTCATCTGTGTCCATTACACCAGCAGTCCCCAACCCCCGCGCCATGGACCGGTATCGGTCCGTGAGTCTTTTCGTGCCGGGCCGCGAAGGTTGAGGTTCAGGTGTAAAATTGATGGGTTTTTTATGGGGGAGGGTTTCATTGTTTTTATTGTTAACTCCGTTCCCCTGGGTCTTTTCCCGAGTGTTATGAATAAATGTTCTTTTTTTGGGGTACTGGTTTTATTTTGTTGCATTTATCCACGGCACCTTAAATGGCAGTCCGTAAAAATATTGTCGGATATAAACCGGTCCGTGGTGCAAAAAAGGTTGGGGACTGCTGCATTACACGGCGTCTATTGTCAACGCGTTCTCACTCCCAAAGCGTAACATTTTACGCTAGGTGACAAATCGTCGGTATATTACGCTTCCAGGAACCCAACATGTTCCTATATTATGAGATCGGAAAAATGAGAACCGTTTGGAATCAATCTACATGTGTACATTCATTTTACTTAGCTAGTGTTTTCCAAAGCGATTTAACTTCATTAAAGTTGTGGTTAACGTTAGGGATAAGGTTATGGTTATGGCAGAATACAGGGCTGGAACGTGTATTACCGCGGGAGGATCATTCTACTGGATTTCATCCATAACCCGGCGCGAAAGGTGACCGGACTTGACAAACCGTCGGTATATTACGCCTCAGGAGTGGGCTGGGAATAGGGCTGTGTGTTATGACCAAAATCTCATATCCCAATATAAGACATCTATTGTCCCGATAACGAAGGCACTACAACTAAGCTGTAGTGCCTTTTCACTGTGTAATACTTTTTGTTAATAATAACCAATTCTCTTGTATTCTTATTCCTATTTATTCTATTCATCCCTTTTGTAAACTCTTTATTTAGGTCTCTGTATTTATATATGTGTGTATATATGTTATTCTGCTCACATTCTGTAACTTCTGTCGGTGCTGTGCTATTGGAAACCGAATTTCCTAGAGGAACCCACCCGAGGGATTAATAAAGTTCTATCTTATCTTATATAAATCACAAAAATGTAACATTTTCTCGGGCAACTCGACTTGCGTGAAGTGTTTCCAGCTGGGTGTCGTGTACCTGTAGTCGAGTGTTTTAACCGATGCGTGAAACGATACATTTTTAGACGTAAGTTGTAACGGCTGCCATTTTCTTTGTGAGTATTTATTACATGGCGTGCTGCGGGGAAAAGCCTGTTCTAACGTTTGAGTCTAAGGTTTATTTTTTAGCACCTGGCGGCTCTTTGTTGCTTTTCATCCGTAAACACTCTGCATCCTCTTTCACGTGATTCAGTTTATTTTGAAAAGTCTCAACAGGATCTTGAGCTTTATTGTGAAAGGTTTATGTGGAAAATAAACAAGCGGACACGCGATGATTTTACAATCATTGTTGCTAACGACAACGCATAAAAACAGGCGCTTGTCCGTCCATAGTGTGGTTATATTAAATATAAGAGAAAGAGAGAAGTTTAAGAAATTAATATAGCCACTACAGTGACCATGAAAACGATGAAAAAATATTGCCGTAAACAGTTTATTTTGCGACACCACGAAACAAACGATAGCGTAAAATGAAACGATAGACGTTTTTATATCGTTATATCGAACAGCCCTAGCTGGGAATGGGCTGCTATTGTACACTTTGGCATTATACTGGGTTGCAAATGTTTAGTTAATCCTTGGCCTCCTTTAGTAGTAATGATAACAATAATAATTGTAGTCTGTTTGTTGCTTTAGAAGCCAGACTCAGTTAATTGGAGATCTGGCTCGGCACCCTTGAAATTCCTGCAGCTACTTTATAATATAAACTGCTTTGAAGGGACTGTTGTGATGTGGCAATGTAGAAATTGTAAGAATTATTTATTTTTTGGCAGCCAGAGTAATTACTGAATATGAATACATATGTTAGAATTCAAAAACATACAGTGCAGCAGTTGAACTGAGCTCTTAGTAGGCAGATGTGCAAATTTACTGTACTTTTCCCAAGAATGAAAATCCACCGTTAATGCTAAACATAACTCTCAGCAAGTCGCTCAGCCTCGTGTTTCTTTAGCTAATCGTGTTATTGTCACGTGGCTGCCTCACACCTAGCTGTTAAAACAACATGAAGACGAGACAGAAGAAACAAAACCTCCAACTTAAAAAAGCCTTGAATTTCCTGTGATAACCAATATGAACGAAATACAAATTGTCATTATAAAGTCTGCATACTTTTCTTAAGTTG